TCAGAGTAAATCCAGGACTAGCCTGGATGAATGACTTCAGTTGCTCTGTCTGGGCATGTTTGCACTATGTGGCTTCCTTGAATAGGGGCAAAGAGCAGTCCCTTTAGACCCTTGTCCATACACATTTCTGAACCACTACCTCTTTTGGCTCTTTATATGTACTTTCACGTAATCTCCAAATATAAGTGCTGTGGAAGTTACTCTGTTGATGTAGAAAATTACTCACAATACCCTGGCATCTTTCTCTGCCACCCATCTTCCAAGGTCAGGATCGAAACGTAAGAACCTCCACCATGTGTGAGCTGAGGAACTGGTCCATGTTTTCTTCAGCCATCTGTGGCTCACAGGCAATTACCACTTGACTTGCTGTGTTGGGTCAAGTGTGATGAGCAGCTGGGGCTGCAGGGTGACCTGAGCTGTCAGCCACATGAAGCTGTGAGCAGCGGGGACTGTGGATATTGACATTTCTGGATTCCCCTGGGGTTTGAGTACTGGCTGAGCACAAAAAAATCAGGGGAAGGGAAGCCCCCCAGCGCAGCAAACACCCTTTCTCCATGTCTGCCCTTCCCTGTCCTTCCAACTCCCTCATTCAGCTGGCATGTGCTGACTTCAGCAGGCAGGCTGACTTGAGGGCAGGGTTTTCTCCATTCCTCATGCTTGCCCTTGGATCAGCAAAGATCATGGGTGAAAATTAGTATGAATGGCAATGCAGGGGTAGTGTGTGGGCCCAGGAGAGAAACAAGTCCTGCTGCTGTTTCCTGGCAGAATAAAAAGAAAATCTAAATTCAATACTGATGAGCGCAGCGGTGTTAATTGTAAAGAGAGAGTGATGGTGTGAATCCAAATATGGCTACATATGTGGTGGATTGCAGTCTCATCGACAAAGTGAATTTAAGGATGACGTCAATAGTGAAGCCTAGAATCAAAGTTGCACTGTATTTTGGCATGTTCTGGGTCATTTGCACTACTGCTGCAGTTCTGTCATCTGGATTGTATATTCTGTGCCTGCGTCTACTTCTGTTCAGTTTTGTGGGGAAAGTTAAGTTGAAACAGATCAGCTGTTTCATACTAATCTCTCATCAGCAATATTTACCATTACTGTGGTCTGCCATAGGGATCAAACATTAGGTGAGAGGGTCGTGTCAGCATCATGGATATAATTTTAGCTGTCATCATGAAAATCCCCTCACATTTGGATAAACTGGGGGTTATTGAAGAATGTTGGGCTTTACAAGTTCAGCAGGGGAGCTCATAAATTTTTGAGGTGACAAAGGTCAGGCATGTAGAAAGGGAAAATATTTTTGTCCTTTCCTTGAAACTTTTGCAAATGCAGGTTGTTTCTGGTTTGGAAGTAGTGCAGCAATGGGTGGTTTTAGTGAGGAGGATATAGCTACCATCATCACCTTTCCTCACCCTGAAATCTGTGCCTGGTGGTGTGGGAATAACTGTGAAATAAAAGCAAGACTGAAGGAAGCAACCACAGCACACACCAGGACTGGGGAGGCTGGCTGTATCAGTAGAAGAATGATAAGGATGATCACTAGGGAAGATGCATGTCTCACTGCTACTTACTGCCTCTGAATGACCACAGAAGTGTGGTGGATTTCTGTGTTTGAGTGCAGAGAAACCTGAGGATAGCGCAGCAGAGCTGATGCCCAGACTGCGATCCCAAAGGTTTTTCACAAGGACATTGCTACCATACAGAGGCAGTTTTATACTGGGTATCAGTACAAGAAGAGAGCAAGAGGAGGTCAGCAATTAACACTGAAAAAGAATGAGAATGGTTAACACACAGAAATCTGTGATGATGTTGGTGGTTTGAACTGCCAGTCTGATGCAATGGATGACAAACAGGTACATGGTTAAATCTTACAGATTTTCTACCTCTATGCCTCTTTAGCCTCCCACAGCTTTATAGACCATGAGATTACACATAAAACTCCCTATAGTTTAACTATAAATGCTCCATCCATCCTGGGATCAGCCAGAATTTTCCCTAAATTTCTTCCTCCCATCTCTTGCAAACATGTGAGGCCAAATCCTGGAACTAAAATCAGGGAGGGTCACCCTCCTGTTCTTTCAGTGTTGCATGTATGCACTGAGAACATGGAGAAAACTGCTGGGGAAAAATGTAGTTGGTGCCTGGTTTTGAAGAAGAGAAACAATAGGTATGTGGGTAGAAACTCAGAGAGTAATAGGAATTGCAAGTATGTGAGTGTTTTAGATGCAAGAATTAAAAGGGCAAAAATGAGGAAGGTGGAATAGAGTGGGAGTGATTTTCCCAGAAGGCTGTGTAATTATTCATGAGGGATGATGCTGTAAGAATCAATCATAACTATGTAGGAAGTTTTTATCTGTAGGATCCTTGTCTCCCTCCTTGCTGAGGTTGGAAAGAATGAGGCAACAATTATACAATTAAAGATGCAACCATAATGACTGCACAAAATGGAAGCAAGTTAAAGTTGCAAGGCCATGTCGATCATTATTATTATGTAATTCAATATTTGAATGTATAAGAAAACTTAAAACAGCTAAAGGCACTCTAAGGGCTGACTTAAAGAAAAAGAAGTTGGCTTCATGCAGGTAATTAATAGAATGGCAACAGAATCAAACAAGATAAGAAAGGAAAAAAGCCATTAATGGGTATATAAATTCTATTAGTTTTAAAAGTCACCCTAACAACAAAAAAACTTGTAATGGAAACTATATTTCTACAGTCTTAAGTCAGTGGAAACTTCAAAAAGTATATCAGGTGAGTATAACTTTTTATCTTAGGATAAGGATTTGTTACAGGTTAACTTTTTCATAAACACATAGCTGGCTTGACTTTCAGAGATGACCATTCACTGAGGGCTTTGAATCTGAACATTCGGTGGAATTCATGGCCTAATTTAGACACCTAATAATGGACATTTTAAATTTAAGCTAGTTGGTTTAGGTTTGGTGTAGAACCAGTAAAGAGAAAAGGCATCTTCAGGGGGAAAATAATTTCTTGTTTTGGATGCCAGTTTTACCATGAGATGACTTGTCCTTGAAAGATGCCTATTCTTCTCCACTGCTTATAAAAGAAGCTTAAGGTAAGACTTGAATGATCTACTTTCAGGTGATTAAAGACATGAAATAAATCCTGTCAGTCTTGATATCTAACATAAGGCATCCACTTTTGAAAACTGTAGCCATAGCTGTTTGTAAGGCAATATCAAAACAAACTGTTGTAAATCACACTGTATACTCCAACAGTTAGCTCTCAAAAAGGCTTGGCCAAGCAGTGCAGACACAGACATACTTAACCAGGGTGTGGGCCATGTTGGCAGCAAGCAAAGATTCAAACTGCACTTTTGGAGGATGGCGGGCTGGAAGGTCTCTGTGACCGCAGTCTCCCATGGGCTGCCAAAGATGGCATCTTTTCTCTTGGTTTACTTGTATTTCAATTTCAGCTAGAATGAGTTGCTTTGTCTTCTGGGGCTTCTTGGTATATATCTATAAGCATGGGTTTGTTTGATTGTAACATTTCCCTTTCCAGACTCTGGACATCTTGTTTAAATGCTCTTTTCAAATTTCTAAGCTATCCAGCTCAGATTCCAAAAGGCCTAGACTGGGGGATTGGACTAGATGATCTTTTGAGGTCCCTTCCAATCTCTAGCATACTGTGATCCTGTGATCTGGAGGAAGGAGATGAGAAACAAGAAATATGCCAACAGGATTTTTTTTAAACTTCCAAAAAGCCTTCTTACTGTCCTTGCTTGAGACCATATAGCTCTCTGGGTAGGTACCGTCTCTTGTCCCCTTTTTTTTTCATCTTTGTTCTTGGTGCCGGAATGAACCAGTTTTTGACAAGGTGGCTGTATTATGATGGATGTGTTGGCAGGCAGACAGGAAGATCTGGCTCACAAGAGAGGGGATGAAAATAGCCAGCTCCTGAAGGTGTCTGTGAGACGGATTCTTGCTTTCCTCGTACCTTTTAATTTTGCTTCTGGGCTATTTACTTGTGTTCCACTCCAGCGAGCAGGGTGACAGGTGACTGTGCTCAGCCTTCTCCTGGTGGCATCAGCGCAGGCGGCAGCAGCAGGAGGAAGTTGTTGTGAAGAGAGTCATGTGGTTGTGACTGGGAGAGATGACACCATTCAGAAGCATGATCTTAGGGGTATCTTCTGGAGTATGTCCTGGTACCTTCTAGTGTACCTCCAGTGTGTTCCTCATTTAGAAGCTGGGATCTGGCAACCAACTTCTGAACTTTTGACCTCATCTGTGAGCTGGAAATAGTCATAAGCCCCTCTCTGGCTCATGATCCCAAATAACGTGACAAACTAGCAGGTTTCTGTTGGATACAGAAAGAGGGTTGAGACCCCTACCTTGGGAATTGTGATCAATTTGTAAGTTGCTGTTGTTTTCAGTCATTTTATGAGGAATCTAGAAAAGATCTTCTCCCCTCCCCTGCAGTTCTGTTGAAAACAAAACCTCTTTTAGAACCCTAAGCAGAAAATAGCGATTCAAGGTAAGGCTAAGGGCTTGTGGGTGTTCAGGCCACAGTGCTGAGTAGTAGTTTGCTCATACAAAAATTCACCTTTTGCTATTGCACCTTTCCTTGGATATGGCTGACCACATCGCTGGTTTCACTATTTTACTTTGTAATTACAGATTCCTTTCACCTCATTTATGAAAATCACTATGTGTCCAAGTAGGCCATCCTTTACACAAATAGATATAATTAATGAGTCTTTAAATATATGTATGTGAATAGCAACGATTTTTGAAACGTGAAACTTCAACACTTTAAAATTGTTTTGCTGAATTAGATGACTCATCATGCCTGGGGAAAAAAAGATCCTGTAATTTCATTGTATTTTCCTGTCATTAAGAAAATATTATGCTTCAAGCAGATGAAAGACAGCAAAATTTGGAGACCCATTATTACTGGATAGTGGTAGCAAGGAGAACTGCATTACACTTGCCTACAGATATGTGAGTGTGTTTTAGCACCCACTTTTTGTTTCTTTAAAAAAAAAGAAAAGTATCAATTTAGAGGACAAAGTAGAGTTGTGGTTTTTAGAGGACAAGGCTGGACACACCAGCATCTTCAATCCACTGCTTCCATGTCTGTGTCACCCATTTGCTCTGACGACTGAGCTTGGACAGACCGTTCTGCTGGGTCATCCACACACTCTGCAGCTTTTGATGGACTTATTGTGGGTGCTGGCATATTCTCAAGGGGAACGGGCATGTTTTGTGCTGGTGTTGGCAGGTTTTTGGGGGTTGCTGGCATGCTTTCAGTGGGTTTTGGCATGTTCACAGTGGGTACTGGCACACTCTCAGGCGGTATTGGTGCACTTTCTGTGGGTACTGGTGCCCTTTCTGGGAGCACGAGCATGCTTTTGGTGGGCTTCGTCATGTTGTCAGTGGGTGTTGTAATATTTTCAGTGGGTGCTGATGTGCTTCCAGGGGATGCTGGCATGTGTTCAGTGGGCGCTGGTGTGCTCATACTGGGCTTCTCACAGGGATTCCCAGCCTCTGATTGTGGGGTTAGAGGAGAGGGGAGCTCTGGCACCAGGATGGCATTACATGTCTGAGCATCACTGGCCTCTGGATTGCTGCTGTTGCTTGGGATGGACCCCTCTGCCTTGTGGGACACCCTAAAGGCTTCAGCCAGCTCCTTCAGCATCCTCTCATCATTAGCGTGCAGCTCAATGCTTTCCTGCTCAGAAGAGGAAGGGCTTCTATCAGCATCATCATCTTCTTCTAAGATGCCATTTCCATTCACTTCTTCAGGGAACTGTGCTTGCTTTATTTTTTTGTACAATTCATTCCTCTCTTCCTGCAGAGCCCGGCAAAGGTTCTCAAGCCTCTGGATTTTTAGCACGAAACATTCATATTCCTTGGTCCTCATGGCTTTCTGTGGTCAAAGACATTAGACAAAAGTGAGAACTGAGTTTGGGTGCATGCAGTTCCTTGGTGGAACTGGCAGGTAAGAAATAAATTGAGATCTAGGCAGCCCTCACAAGACTGTCAGGTAGCTGGCTTTTGCCAACTGCTCTACAGTAACTACGGTCTTTTGTACTGAAGCTTCAGGAGGAAATTCAGCCATGTTACTGCACTGTATTAAGCATTCTTAGTCTCCATACAGATCCACATCAATTTCACTCAAAAAATATTTGCAGGAGTACCTGTTGATCTGTGGAGGTGGAAAGATGTAGCGGATGTCTGTATAGACAAGCATCCAAAAGCCTACCTGGACATCCAGTGTGTGTGAATTTTGGTGAAAACAAGCTGTATTATATTTTTTGCTTATTTTGCTTCTAGATTCTGTGAAAGCAGCCTGAACTGGAACATTTTCTTGTTTCTACAATCAATGAGGAAACAAGAGATACAGAAACCCAGAAAGAGCAATAGCACAGATCTATAAGTCTAATCAGAAAGGTCTGGTCCAAGTTCAGTGTAAATTTGGGGTGAAACTTTGAGCAGCCTCTTATCTTATTTGGATGAGTTCCAACATGCTTATGAATTTCGTCTGCAATGCCCCTGTGACAGCATGTTTAAAACTATGGTGAGCCACTGTACTTGCTTTTGGCTCTTAGAGTTTGCATACACAGGAAGTTAATGAAAAGTGTAAATTTGAAGTTCATTAGGTAGACCACATTAATTCCCTGGGAGGATGCTCTTATGCAGAAAGAAAGTTGCATGAAGTGAATTAATGCCAATTTGCTTCTATGTGAGTGCATTAACAATCGCACATTTTTAGAGCACTTAAAATTCACAGTTACATAATTCAGATTCTCATGGACGTAATGAATGCCTCTGAACAACCTAAAAGCCCCAGCAGCTGGGGTTGTCTTTTTGTGTGAATATATCTGATTACCAAGGTAGCTGGAAAAAAAGACCCTTAGATTCAAGAACAAAGTTTTCATTGACTTCTGGCAGTTTCAGGTCACCTCATCTCATAGTTAAAGCTTTATGTGGGGAAAGAAGTGCATCCTGAGAAGAAAAAGACTATTCACCTCTTCAATCATGTCCAGTAATGCTCTGTTACAGTTCTCAAACCTGGATTTCCATGTAGCAGTATCCTTTTCCAACTTCTTCATTTTCCTTGTCATCTACAGAAGCAGGAGGAAAAGCTGAATCACAACAGGAAATCCATGCTGAAGATTAAATTAGGGCAGTCCTTTTATTCAGGTCTTTGGCTGTACTCATAACTCTGCTGCCAGCAGCTGTAGTGGCTGTGCTAAGTAATAATTTATGGTAAAGCATGGATTTTGTTTTATGTAGCTGCTATGTAACTTTCAGCCTTCAGTCTGCAGTCCTAAAGTAGGACCAGTTGATTATGTGGTTATAAGTATAGCCAAATCCCACATTACGAACTATTGCAAAAACAAAAGGCAAAGAAAATGTGGCATTATTCTGTTTGTCTCTTTACCAGACCACAGTGTTAGATTGCTGGGAAGTTAAAAAAGGGCTTGCATCTTCGGAGCCAGCACTGCCAAGGAAGTTCCCTCTGGATTAGTCACCTCTATACTACCTCCAAAATACACTACTACCTACATAGCATCATCTTTCCACTTGGTTTTCTGCAGACTGAACTCTCTGTGCAAATCCTTAGTGGTTGCCTGGGTCAGGGCATCAGGAATTTGGGCCCCAGTGGCAGAGCAGAACATCATTTATTATGAAAGTGGGCTCAACACATGGGTGTGTTTGGTTTTTGACTCCCATTCATTACAGGAAATAAGTACACCAGCAGCAGCGAAACAGCCACTTGGGCTTAATGGTGGGAAGGTGTTGATGGGCTTCAGCTCTGCCTGTCTGTGCCAGTAGGAAGATGTGTAACCTGTGTCAACCTTTCTGTACCAGTGTCAGTCACCCAGGAGGCTTCTGGGCACTCCTGGAGACATGGGCTGACAAATGCAGCTTCAGACTCCCCATTTGATATCTCTGGGGGGTCTGTATCCAACCACCACATTAAATTCTAGGTAAAATGATTGTTCTTCCAGGGAAATTTTGGTTTTATCTGAAAGGGAAAGTGAAACATTCAGCTTACATTGCTGAAGTGTAAGCTGCTATTGGTTGTGGCTGAGTGTGCCCAAGATCTTATTTGGATGCTGATGAGATTGTTCTCCAAAATGGGCAGAAATGGTCCCATTCCAAATAAAATTATTGCAGTGAGAAATACCAAAATTTAAAAGGAAAGTGTGAAGCATAGAGTTCAGGTATGAGCTGCTACTCACTTTCTCCATCTCCTGTTTGAATGTGGCAAACACTTCATTGCTTTTGGTCAATGTTTTCTGAAATTCTTCAAACCTTTCAGAGTAGAGAGTGATCTGCATTAACAGAGAAAAAAAAAACACAGTAAAATTCCAGAGTCTCCAGGATGGTGAACTTCCTCTTTGGTGGAAGACAGTAAGTTTTGTGTTTGGGCAAGCAAATTAGCTTCTGTTTGGAGACCATGAAACACAAACATAAGGGAACTGAGACTCTCTGCATCTTTTTAAGTTTTCAAGCTATTATGATTCTCTGTTGCAGAAAGGTAAATGGAGGAAAAATAGGAAGACCCAGGCCAGAGATTTTAAGAAGATCTGGGAAATATGGGTGCCTTATTCTCCTGAATGTTGCAGCTATGGGATCTCTAAACTGGGTGCTCAGAAGCAAAAGAGTTCTCTAGAAGCAGAGACTTCTGAAAACATTTCCCTTGGTAACTATAGGGACTATAAAAGGCAGCATCAAAGTCTGAAAAGCTTTCTACTCCCTGCCTTTCCTCACAGGCCCTGTATACTTCTATGTAGAATTGTGGTTGAAATCTAAAGGAAAGGACTCCTAGGATGACCTACGGAATGGAAAATGATAATGTGATACCTGAGCCCATGTCCATGGTCAGGGACTAACCTGACCTGGTCCAACCACTGATGCTGTGCAGAACCAGGCAGCGGGATTGAATCAAGGTGACAGCCAGCATGGTGAGGGCTAAGCTCTATACCTTGTTTAACCATGCAGACATTGCCAGACTCAAACTTTAACCTGTGGACATAAGCTCTGGCAGGCTTTAGAGGAGGAGCTGAGTGCTACCCTGTGTAAACTGCTTCTGATGTCCAAGTAAACTGTGGGAGAGGTATCTACACCACAGCCAGTTTCCCCTCTTCCATCTTTCCAGTCCCCACATGGTGGCTCAGACTGTGGCTAGGAGCTGCACCAGGCAGCACTTGATGTGCTTCACTGGACTCCACTGTTGAAGAGGAGCATTGCTGTTCCCTTCCTATGTTATCTGGCATACAGGGTAGCCCCAGCACTAAGCAAAACCCACCCTTGGCTTCACACCCCTGTAATCCTGCACTGGATCCCTTCCAGCTTTGTCTCTGCTCCGTGGTTTGAGTGAGCTGAGAGGGCACCTTGTCAGCTCTGTTTTTGAGCCTGCCTGTGGGCTGCAGCTGCAGGCAAGGCCAGCAAAGGCAGAGAAAATAACCCCCTGACAGCCTCTTCTGCCAGTTTCACTTCACTTCATGAAGCAGAGCAGGAGAAAGATCTGTTGCAATGCATTTAAGACTATTAGGGCTCCATATTTTGCTATGGGTAGCCACGTGGAAGCTCATCTGTGGCTGTATTTTGTCAGTGATCCAGATTTTTATATATAAAAAAAATAAATTTCCAAAGGTCTGAGATCAGTTTTTCTGTAAGAAGAGCAGCTCCATCTCATCCACTTCTATCTGGTACCAGAGCACCCCCAGCAGTGTTTAGGTGACTGGACATTTCATCTGCCCAGCCTAACAGCTCTCATTAGAAGAGTGACTGGTGTAACATGCAGTGGCTGAGGCAGGGTGGGTGCAGAGTGATGGGAGATTCAAGAACAGCCTGCACTATTCAGGTGTCTGGCTGGAGGCTAACTGCCCTCTTCACACCAGCGGGGTGCTGACTAAATGACCATCTAGGAGCTTGTATTTTGTGTGGTGCCAGGCACCACACACCCTCCCCTGGTGCCCGCTCTGCAGTTGCTGAGGAAAAGAAGATTTAGAAAATGTAGTGAATAGTGGGTGGGTTTAATTCTGATTTTGAAATCAGAACACCTAACATTATATTGTGTTTCATATTCATTCTGGCTAGTAGTTATGATGCCCCATGTTATGGCCGTAACTGCAGCGTACTACGGATGTGCCCAAGATAAGTTTAAACTAGGTAGTTAGGGTCTTGGTGGCTGTGAATAAGGCACTGGCTGCAGCCCTTCCCCACTGAGCTGGGTGAAGGCATGGGAGGTTAATCCGTGTAGAGCTCGTGATGCCAAAATCAGAGGTAGCTGACAAACTGTATTTAAACCAGGCTGTAGCCAGAGCTGTGACCTATGCACAAACAGAAACTGTAATGGATTTGTTTTAGCAGCTAGAGTGCCACAGCATAAGTGGGACATTGATACCAAGTTCGACATTTGAAATAGATGTCATGGCTCTAAGGAGAAATGCCTGAGCATCCCAAAGCCAGTTAAGGGAGCAGAAGTGGGAGCAAGCAAATTGGGGTTTCTAGCCCTGAGCCATTGTCTTAAAAACCTCACCTCAGTTCTCTGTCTCTGCTTTTCCCTTCCAACTTTTGCCTGTTGTTTAATTAGATTGAAAACCTTTTAGATTTGAACAGGGCAAACTCTGATCTCAGCTGGCGCCTGAGGGAATATCATAGCACCAAGAATAGCTTATGCAATTTAAATTTGAATAATAAATTAATGTTTTTACAGTGGCTGGGAACAGTGTGTGAGAGCTATCTCTCAGTAGGAGCATGCACTCCTGCTCCTCAGTTAGGGAGATGAGGACCCCCTCACTGCTGTGCACCATCCATCCAGTGGCCTTGACAACATGGGCAGGGGGAGCACAGGCAGTGCTGCTGCCAGGTGAGAACTGAGAGCAAGGCTTTGGGAAGTAAGGACATCTCAGCATCATCATGCTGTGAGGGTCCTACAGCTAGGACACCCCTTCGGCCCTGTTAAGTTCTTCTTGGTTGCCATAGCCCGGTGATTGCACTATGCCAGCTGCTGAAAATTCAAGGCCTTGGCTTTTATCTTCTCACTTTGTTTCAAAGCACAAAGCTGAAGTCTTTCTAAGCAACATGCCTGGAGAGGGTGTGAAGCGTCCTGGGAAGCACCCGTGTGGTTTGGGTGTATTCCCTCAGCTGGTGCCAGATCTCTGTTACCATTTGGAGGGCCAGATTTGGCCACCTCAAGGCACACTGTGCCACTCAGAGACAGGCTTGAAAATCATGTCCCCTGATGTGGCAGGCAGGTGTGAAAACAATGCCCCCTGATTCCTTCCAGCTCAAGGAAGCAGTGGGTGTTCATCACCTCCTCTAAAATGGAGTGATATCTCACTCACTATAGCAGACCATGGGGGCTGTATTATGGCTTCTCCTTATCTCACTGACCAATGTCTTCTCATAGTTTCCATGGAGCTGTTCCTCTGTTAATATCTATTTGTCATTTTTTGCTGTTTGCATCAAGGAGCTCTTTATGCTGCTTCTCTTCTGTACTTCCACAATGGCACCTGGTCCATGAGGGAGGCCCTGCAGTGCCTACTATACTGGAAATAGTAATAATAGTAATAGTAATAATAATAATAATGATGTTATTCTTTCCAGTAATTCCAAATGGAGGTTGCTATGTAGGTGACAGAGCTCTCACACTTGAGCTCTAACTAATGCATATTTCATTTCAAAAGTGAATCACTTAATTTTCATGTACCCAAGTCTGCAAAGGGCACATATATTACCAATGCCTTTGCAGACTTGTTTGACTGGATTGTTCTAAAACCAATTCTACTATTTCAAATGTATGCTTCATATATTCTTGCTTTTATCAGTATCTTCAGTTTCATTAAGCTGGCTACAGAGGTCTGCTTCCATACAAACTCATTCTGGTTAAACATAAAAGTGTAATTAAAACCATTCTGAGAAAATTGGGAGCAGGTTTGTAGTTGGGACATACTCAGCTGGAGGCCTTTGAGGTTTGATTGCAGAACCTGTCAAACTGGTGTCAGCAGCAGTTTATGGGATGTTCTTTGGTACATTACCAGCTTATCTCAGCCTTTGAAAAAACATTTAAAGGACCAAACCCCTCTTAGTGTGTTTCCAGGTTATCAAGTTTAATGATAGCCTTTCTTGACTGCTCAACAGGTAGGAATTAGACCATCTATAAGGGCAGAGCTGGAACAACTTACCAGTATGACTAACTGTGAAGAAGGGCTTGGAAGGGGCTTACTGATGGGTGAGGAGATGAGCAGCTGCAGGGGGGCTGAAGGACTGACACCCTCCCCGCTCCCCAAAGCTCTGCTGGGGAGGACCTTTCTTGCAGACAAGTTAAAGAAGAAAAATCTACATGGCTGCTTTTATAAGTCTAGGAAAATCTACTAATGCTATCTCTTTTTGATGTGAAAGTCCAAAGTCAAACATGTAATTGGGTGTTCTCACTTGCATTAAAGGTGGATGTGGATTATTGCATTGCTCTCAAAGTGTAGCATATACTGCCTGTTTCTTGTTTTTACTGCTTTTCACTGCAGCCTGACTCTTAGTATAATTTTGGCAAGCTTTTTTACTTTGTTGAATGTTTCAAATTGCAGCCAAACACTGAAATCCTTTGTATAAGCCCTTAGCAGGCAGAATTCCTGCTGAAGTTAATGAAAATGTTGCCTTCACACTGCAGTAAAGAAAATCCCATGAGCACATCAGCTCTAGTTTGGTAAATGTGTTTCATGATATGTATGTATTCCAGTGCTTCGCTGGATTAGAAACCTGCCTGAAGGGTAGTTACAGTGAATAATCAAGCCAAGGCACACATATTGTTATGTAGTTGAGTACTTTAAACACTCATAAATCATAGTATTATAGAACAGTCAGGGTTGGAAGGGACCTTAAACATCATCTGGTTCTAACCCCCTGCCACAGGCAGGGATGCCTTCCACTAGACCGGGTTGCTTAAAGCCACATCCAGCCTGGCCTGAACACTGCTATGGAAGGGGTATCTACAACTTCTCTGGGCAACCTGTGCCAGTGCCTCACCAACCTCATAGTAAAGATTTTCTTCCCTAGATCTAATCCAAATCTACCCTCATTCAGTTTAAAGCCATTACCCCTTGTTCTATCACTACAGGTCCTGATACAAAGCCCCTCTCCACATTTCTTGTAAGCCCCATTTAGGTACTGGAAGGCTGCTATAAGGTCTCCCTGGAGCCTTCTCTTCTCCAGACTAAAAAACCCACATACTACAGTATGATTTGCAGTATGGGTTTTACCTTACAGTTGGCTTGAAAATAACCTGTCCCCTTTGCAATAGCCTACGGGTTGTAGAATGAAGCTGGAGGGAATACATATAAAGTAGTATGGATACTTTACCTGGAACACGTCTCATGGGTTAAAAATGAAGAAACAAAGGCACACCATGCAATCACCTCTCCTACATCACCTGTGCCTGCAGGACAGTCTCTTGCTCCTTTAACATTTTGGCCTGGAGCTTCCATTCTGCAGCTTGGTTCAGGAGCTGGGTTTTGGGCAACAGAAAAAATTGTTAGGTCCCTAGTTTACCAGTTGGAAATCCTCATCCTTCACCTACCTGTGCTTCTGCCACTACTACCGTGATAAGGAGTAATCTAGCTCTTGGATGAGTGTAGAGGAGTTAGGCAAGATAGAGTATCTAGTGCTATCCTGAGACATGGAACAGGGTTTCCAGAGGCATATTTGAATATGAGTTCAAAACCTACTTGGAATGAAGTTGCAGTACAGTGGGCTCTAGAAAGTGTGGTATTTAACCATATCTTCAGCAGACTTCTAGAGAATGGTTATAATACTTTCTGGCACTTTCATTTCAGCACAGCTCTGGCCAAATTCCTGCTTTCCAGTGAATGGCAAACTCCCCTTTACATTAATGATCAGGACTTAGCACACAGGTATGGTCACAGTCAGATGTGCCACAAAAAATCTGCAAGCTTTCAGAAATTTACTATGTCATTTCATGACATAGTAAATGTCATATGCTTTTTGGTACCTATTATCTTTGAGCTCCATTTGCATTGACATGTTCCCAGTGGAGTATCCCAACTCAGGGTGATGAATGCCTCACTTAGATCAAGGAGGCAGCCTAGGAAGAACTTGACTGCAATGTTATCCCTGGCTGCTCCTGGGAAGATGTGTTTCCCCACTTTAAGGTATTTGGCAAAATAATATTATGAAGTGGAGGCTGCAGAAGGAAGGGTTGGTCAAGGCTGAATGAACTGTAGGAATGAACTGTACAGAGACTTTTCCAGGCTGCAGTTCTGAGTCAGCACTTCTAAAGTGCATGGCAATGTTATAGCAATTGGTTTAATCTGAAAGCCAAAACATTTACTGAAGTGTTAAAAGAAATGTGCCTATTGCCCACCATACATTTGTAAAGGGTTTTACTGGTTAGGCCAAATGTGTTTTAGAAAAAGAATGTTTATGATAGCTTGAGAAATGAGGTAGAAACAAATCAGTTTACCACAGGACTTCCTTCTGTTGGATTAAATTGTACTGCTTATAACACCTCTGCTGGGCTCTGAAAATATACTGATAATAAAAGTACCATGTAAGTCAATAGATCCTACTCTCATATTGGAAGTGAAAGGTGAGTAGAACCACATGCAGAAAATGCATTTGACCCCTAGTTAGTTAAAACTTTTATTCTAACCATTTTGCTGAAAATAACACACGTAAACTACTTGAATACCACCTGGCAAAAGAGCTGAGAATGTACCCTACAAATGCTGACTGAACAACAAAATGAATTCCCTCCTTACAGCTATTCCTGGCACAGAGACTATTTGAATTAGACTTGTTGCCAACACATTTATATATATATAAGCTGTAGAGAAATATTTCTTCCATCAATTCTTTTGATTTAGACCCACTGATTTTTTACCATCTACAATTACCGAGACTGTACACAGCTCGAGTATGCATTTTGTGAAGCAATAGTACATTGTGTTTTATACCTACCTCTTAATATTTATTTTGAGAATTTAATCTAATGCTTGATTTAATGGAGATGAGTCAAATTCTTGCGTTAAGATCTTGTTGACTAAAATTTCAAATAGGTTGTGTCGTGACCAGTAAAAAGAGATGGTATGAGTAGGCCTGGATTAAATGAGCTCAGTTCATGCATTTATTTTCTTGGAGACAGTATGTTTTACACACAGAGAAAGAATTAGTTTGGCTTTTTTTAAGTTTGGATGAAATATGGATTTTTAAGTTTTACCTTTTTTTTCTTTTTTAATGAATTCTAGGGTGTCTGGTTTGAATGATTTAATGAAAAGTGCTTTGGAAAGCTTCAGAGCTACCCAGTCTATAAGGCCAATTATTGCTTCCAAGAACTGGGCTTTTATCTGTATTGTTTAAATCTCAACTATGATTGCCTTCATGCCCACTGTGCCTGGGATAATGAAAAGGTCTCACCTGCTGCACCACATCTTCTGCCACAGCACAAGAGATGGACAGCGAAGGCTAAGAAAAGTTGCTTCTTTTGCCCGCACTCTCTCTTATTGACCCACATAGCTTCTGCAGCCAGTAAAAGTTCAAAAATTAATAAACTCTTCTATAATGGAAGCAAGCCACAGAGAGGCTTGCTCAAATTAGCATGTGCTGTTATGCAGCCTGAGGTCATCTGCAAACACCAAGCTGGGAGAAAACAAGTCAGGAGAACTGATACATTTATTAATACGCTATGAAGTGGTAACAAGGAGGCCAGAGTATAAAGAAATGAATAAATATCGCATGTGGTGTTTACAAAGCAGCACTTCAGTGAAGTGTAGTGATGTTACACTATATTATTAGAGCAGTGATAGCTGCTGGAGGCCCAGACAGTCACATCATGCTCAGGAATTAAAGAACCAGTCCCCAGGAACACACATTCCCATTTAATGACATGGATCCAGGGACTGGCTTAGTGAAAATTAAGCTTCCCTTTTTGCTGCAAGACTCTGCAAGTTCCAATTATGTAGAAATCTGATCAATACCTTTCAGTCATATACTTGAAAGCCACAGAGGATTTAAACGGCAATTAATTGCACATCAAAGTTTGCATTACAAGTGCTAACAATGTATGGTATGGGGAGAAAGTCCAAGTAGTGCTGAGCAGTTATGGGATGATAGTAAAATTGAATCCTTAAGTCAATCTGACCCTTTGGGAAGGCCACACAGTATGAACCATTGCTGCTTATACAGGAATTGCATTCTTTGTTGCACATGTAGAGTGGATTGTGCTAGCAATGAGATAATCTACCTATTGAGATGTGATGTACAGAGGCTGCAGGAGATGACATTTCTCCTAGTCTGAGGTAAAGAAGTTTTGTATAGGGGCAAGGATTCCTACATGGAAGAGCTACCTAGGAAGACATCAAAGTAAGCCTACAAGGAGTAATCAAATAGGTAAAAGAATAGAGAAAAAATTCATTTACAGACATTTGCAAAATCCTGCATCAAAAGTCATGTGTAGGGATGTAAGAAAATGGTGCCAAGAGAAAGATTTTGAAAGCTGTTCGCTCAGATGACAGGATACTGAAAAGCAGTAAGGCTCTGGCTTTTCACGCTACTGAGCTGGAGAAAAATTCAGCTAAATGAGAGGACTCCATCAAAACTACTTTGATTTCATACATACAGATATATATATACATTACTCCCACAGACATTAGCACAATAGCTGGGTGGGTGAGACTAAGAGCTCAGCAATAGGATTAAGGTGGGAGACAAATGTAGGCCAGCTCTCTGGGTGCTGGGCTACCTGTGATGAATCATGGCATGCTAATCATGCCTTGACTTGTAGCATGGCTTTTGGCCAGTCACTTCAGTTCTTCAGCTAAATCTACTTTGCTCTAAGGTGATGTTAGCCATACATCACCAGCCTACATCAAAGGCAGGGTTTTTAAGCATTACTTTGGACAGTACAAAAAAATATTCTTTGTGCATGGTGCATATCATTATACACCCACTGCCTAAAGGCTTTGTAACTTCTTTTCAAACCTGCTATTTCCTAGGTGCTAGTCATACATAGCAAAGCCACAAAGGAAATCTCCCACTCCCAAATGTAGATAGTGATGACGTTCACTGCTTTAGAAGAAATTAAAATATGGGCATATCAGTTCTGGATAAACTACACAAAGATCTGGCTAGGAACAGGGCCAGTCACAGGCAACCCCAAAATGCATGTTCTGTGGGGCACAGTAAGAAAGATCATTGATACAAAACTGTATATGTCAGTTTTCTTCTGTTGCTTTTGTTGGTGTTTTTTTTGTTTGCTTGGATTTTTTGTTTTTGTTTGCTTGGGAGTTTTTTTTGTGGCTTGTTTGGTTTTGTTGTTTGGTTGTTTTTTTCACCCAGTATCTGAAATCTGGTACTACGTACCAGAACTGTGACAGCAATAAAGTAAGCCCAAATTTGCTTTGTCATTGCAAGGGATTTCTTGGAAATGTTTCCTGGGATTTGAACCTGCCAATAATCAATGGTCGTGAATGAAATTTTGGGGTTTGTCTTTACGTGGGCATCACAGGGAAAGAAAATAACTGAGCTGGACCAAAAATCGTCATGCAGTGACATGCAGATGTGCACATGGAGAGCCCTTAGTTCCTCTTCCCCCTCAGCCTTTAGCTGGGAGTAAAGCTGAGCAGGAGTGGGTATTCCAGTCACAAGATCAGTGCAGAGATCTTGTGCAGTTATGGGATGATAGTAAAATTGAATCCCTAGGTCAAATTGAACTTTGGGAAGTCCATACAGTATTGGACCAGGGCAGCCTCCTCCATCAGACCCAGAGGAGGATGTCTGGGGGTCTCTGAGCCTAGGGGGATAGTAGTCTTCAGCCATCTCATGTTAATCCCATGTTCTTGTTCTCCTCTCTGGCTGTTTAAATATGCTCATTTATCATGTGGGGAGATAAGAGTATCAAATATCAGAGCCTTTTGAAAACTAATGGCATCATCTGACCCATCATGATGATTCAACTGTGTAGTAATGCTGAGTTAGCTAAAGCAGTCTGTGCTCTAACCTACCACTCTGCAGTTAGCTTCCAAATCTGTAAATGGCAATGGAAGCAGCCTTTCAGATGCTGTTTCTTTACATTCAGCATTGACAGTAGCAATAAAAGCATCTCTACTACTGTAACCCAGCTTGGACCCGAAGAACCAATGTATTAGTGAAATAGCATGCAGGGCTCATTTTGACCTAACGTTAGGAAAGAGGCAGGCAGATTAAAAGGATAGGTACATATTCCTTTTCTTTCTGATGTCGCTCCTCGGCTTCCTTCATCATTTCCTGAGACTGCTCCAACTTGGCATCCACCAGTTTCTGTTGAAGTTCTCTGTGCTTAAATATTTTATCAAGGTGCTGTAAGAAAATAAGTTCTGCTGAATGTGCAGGTTTAGTTATGTACACAGAGCTTCATGCTCACACATGTACAGCTGTCTACTAGAACGCTCGTAAGACAAAAACATTGCAAAACAGGAAGACTCCCACCCTACTGCAATTATTAAAAAACTACAGCACTGACAAGAACAAATTGTGCCAGAATTTGCATGGGAAAGGAAACCTGTTTACATTACCTATTTTGATTTATTTTGTGAAAATAAAATAAAATAATAAAGTAAAATAAAATAAAATACTTTAGTGTCTTTGCCAGTTCCATAGTCCAGCTATGAAGTCATCAGTACAATCCAATATAACTGAAGATCAAATAATTGCTCATCAATAGTAAATATGCAGGAGGGACACTTTTTTGAGCTGTTAAGTGGCCAGCAGATCTAAGCCACTGTGTAGATAAATGTGTAAAGATACATTGCACTTGCTGTACACAGCTCTGTAAATACAAGCCCTGTACACACCCTTTGCTCTGGACATACATGCACAACATGGGCTTGGAGGGCCTGGGTGAAAGTACATGAGTGGGGATGTGGAGGAGATCAAACCAGCTGAGCCAGAGGCATCTTCTGCCCTGTATAATGTCTGGCTTCATGGTGACCTTTGCGAGGTAAATGCTGCTGATAGACCTCTTCACTTTTGATTCATTCAGATAAAATTCATAGGAGCCAATATTCTGATTACATCCCTCTGTTTTTCATCTTCTCTCTCATAGAAACCACAAGACAGGAATGTACATTACTTTCATTCACCGGAAGACTTCATACATGATTCAATAGATTTGGTAATGCATGTATTTTATTGGGCATTCCATATTGTAAGGACAGATTACTTATGTTTTATTCAGTATGATAACGTTGTCTGATTGCACTGAGGCTCACAGTAAACGTATTTAGAAACAATAAAAAGACCCACTGTGATGTTTTTTAGCATTTGTCATAAAATACTAAAAAAAAGTTAGTTTGGGATCTTACTGAAGGGATGTTTTTGTGTCAAAATTTTCTGACCAACTCTAATGTGTATAGAACAAATAATTTAACAGCTGGCTACTATCTGCCTGATCTTACGGTGAGCATTGTGCCTGCAAAAAAGAATCTATTCCAATGCAAAGGGCCTCCTTTATCTGTCATGTTAATTTTCTGCTTCTGAGGAAAGGTCAAAGCATTTACACCAGAGGCCATCAGGCTTGTGTCTGAAGAGAACACAAGTGTACCTGGCATCAGCAACAAAGCAGGCTGTCCAAAAAGATGGCAGCTGGGAGGTGTTTTGGGGGTGACTTAGGGGAAGCAGGAAAGGAGAGCTGGGGAGATCCATGGGGATTTGGGGAAGCTGTGAGAGGGACAGGGAGCAGCCTAGAAGATGGCTGGCACACCTTGCTGCTTGGGTGTCTTGGCCCCTGTCCCCAGAGCAACAAGGCTGTGGTGGGTGCTGCAGGCAGGGTGCTGGTTCACACAACCCCTTGGCTGCAGAGTTTGTCACACAGAGTCTGGTTGGCTTCTTACATGCACAGGCCAGCTTGGGGTACTGCCCTTGTTCTCTCCATGAGACATGGTAGCCAGCGGGGAGGACAGGCTGGCAATGCTTTCTGCTTTCCCTCAGTGAAACCAGGTTTGCTGCCTGCCCCTGCGGGCAGCCAGGGCATTGCTCTCACCTCTTCCCGCAGCTCGTACTGGTCGATGATGCTTTTCAGCTTCTCTGCAAGCTCTGTGTTCTCCTGGCAGAGCTTCATGTTCCTCTCACTTTGCTGCTCGATCTGTGCTTGGATTTCACTCAGCGTGCCTTGGAAATGATTAGTTATTTCTTTCCTCTTCTCATCTTCCTCCCGTGCCCGCTGAATTGTTTCTTCCTGTTGTTAAATGGGAGAGAATGCAGTCATGTAAGTAAGACACATAATAAGAGGTTCAAGAAAGATACTGTTTCAGGGTAGCATAATGCTTCCCTTTGAAGGATTATACGTGTTTGTATTCCTCTGTGGAGATTTTCTTGCTTTCATCTGCTCCAGCATTAGGCATGATTCTAAATTTACAGAGCAAATTACACATTGGCCTTGAAAAAATTAGGGAACTAAGAATTTGCATTTACAAAGATGGATGTAGAGCAGTTTCAGATCAAAGCAAGCCTGGAAAGGGGGCATACATGCATGTCTTGATTCATGATACTGCATCACAGTTTTTGATTTGGAAGAAGATATTCAGTGGAAGTAGTCAAAAGCACTTTTATCAAAATTCTTTTTGATTGAATTAAAAAATCACCCTTTAAATTGCCTCCTTTTAATTAGGAATCCTCATATCAAATTTACAGTCTTTTGGACTTTAATGTTTAAGAGAAATCCATCACTTTCCGTAGAATTCATCCCAATTCCTCAATTTTTCTTCCGTAGCTTTTTTACTGACACCAGAATTTGCACTGATTTATTAGGTAATGGAATCAAGGAAAGCTTATCATCTGTTTCTTACAGAATCAAAGCAAAGAATCAGAATTTTGCCTGGAGAATTCTGGAGATTTTTTTTTTTTTAATTACTGAAATTCTGGTTTGGATTTGGATATAAAAGACAATGCAGAAAGAATCTGCATTCATTGCTTTGGATCCAGAAATACGGACTATTTTTATTCCCTACTCATTTTCTTCCAGGGCAGTCTGCCCTTCTGTGGAATGTAATCCTGATGTGCAGTGGCTAGGACAGTATCTGCTGTAGTTACAAATCATGCCAGAATCACGCTAAGAATCCACTCTACAGCATGAAAATGGCACACTCTAATGAGGTTTCAGCTATCATAGTCATTTACATAAAAATCTCTGATAACACTGCATATGGATAGTTTCTATAAATGTACTTGAATAAAGCCTTAGCTGACTCTAATGAGGTATAATTTATATCATAAATTTGACATAAAAGGTGTAGATTTAGGCCCTAGTCTTAAAGTAAGATGAATACCAAATGACCCTAATTCTACTTAGCATGCACCACACAAGCCTGATCTTGGACAGCTGCTGTTCAAGGTAGGGGATGTTTGTCCTTTAGCTCACCGGGGAGTGACAGAGATGACAACACCTTGGATGATGGGAAGAAAGTATTGGAGCCATTAGTGCTAATAATACCGTAGTGATTAAGAAATCACCATGAAGCCCTGCTGTGCTCTGCAGTTCACACAAGAACACATGTGAGTACTCACAGACAGAGTAAAACAAAGTGTAAACCCAGAAGGATTCTCACTCTTAAGAGGAAGAAGTGGTTTCAGATAAAGCTGAGCAAATGACTTGGAGGGGTCCTGGTTCAGTCCCTGTGATGAAATTGGACACACACAAAGTTTGCAGCAAGGTGAAAGAGAAGCTCTCCAATATTTAGTTATTTTTTACATTGGCGAGAATGATTTTAATTTAGCCTGAAACATTTTGCTTGACCAGAAATAGGGCTGTGTTGTTTGTAATTACTTTTAGGTTAGATCTTTTTAGTGCAATATTGAAACAGAAATGCTGTTGCAAAGTGCAGTTAAAAATGCTACTCAGAAGGTGTTTTAAATCAGCTCCTTTAGCATTCCCAAATGAAACATCTGATTATCTTTTTTTTGAAAAGGGATGTTTACAAGCAGTTCCTTTTTATTTTTGTTCAAAACGTTGCCAAATTAAACTTGAATTCCTAGAGAGTTTTTGTCAAGTCAGAGCTCCATTTTACCTCTAATAACACTGTTTGAAAAACTGCTCAAGCCTTTTAGTTCTCAATTGGATAGGTGCAGCCCTTAGCAGGGAGAAGAATGACCAGGTGCTCTCATGTCAAGAAATCAAAGACAGAGTGAAAAATTGAACTTGCATGTCTGGAGTCCTATTTCTATGGCTTCATAACATCCTTCCTCAAAAGTACTTTATTGTTCCAGTGGATGAGATGGTGTTATAACACGTCACCGCTGTGATTTATAGCTCCCCAGAGTAATAAATCCAGCTGAATATAAACCAAAAAATGGGTGGATGGAGCGCATGTCACACTGAACATTTCTGTTACAAGGTGAAATGAGACATTCTCTAGAGTAGCAATCACGCAAATGTAAAAAAACAAAAAAAAAACAAAAAAAAAAAAAACAAAAACCAACCAACCAACCAAACCTCTATGCATGTGTTACTCAGAAGATCTTATTTCCTGCTCATTCTCTCCTCTGAGGTAGAATAATTACACAGCACAGAGACAATACAAATATTCAAGGTTAAAGACACTAAGCCAGGAAGCATTTAGTTGCAGGGCGCATTGTTTCTCTTGACCTCTTCTGCTTCAGAGAAAAAGATATCTTAGGAGGATATTTGCTTGGGGGTCTGGCTGTGTCCCAGAAGGCTCCTCAGAGTCCCTCATAAAACAGCAGTGATTTCTGAAATCCCTGAGATTCCAGGCAGATTAAGGGTGGGTGTGGGTGAGAAGAGCTGTCTGAACAGAAGGGCAACTGTGTGGCTACGGCACTGTGCAGGGACCTGCAGGCATTGCCTCTTCCCTGCTCAAAGGAACAAAACCCTCTGTGTCCCACTGCTCTGCCATGCCAATGCTGCCAATACCCAGCTGATGGTAGGCTAGTGTCTGATCCCTAAGTTTCAATGTCAGAGGTTTCTAGGTTCTACTGGTAATACCCTGGAAATAGTGATAGGCCTTTGGAGGTGTCTGTTTTAAACCTGAGCCTTTACTAGCTGTAAAAGCCTGAGGCTGCATCTACACTAGAGCTAGGGAGGGGGTCAGATGCCCACATACCACAAGCAGAGCTTTGTGTCCCTGCCAGTTCTGCTCTGGGGCTGTGGTGCCAGCTCCACTTTACCTACCTCACCTGGACAGGCACAGTCTGGCAAACCCCAAATCATTGGCATCACCCAAGTTTTATTATCACAAGCCTGCAGCCCCATCTCTGCTTATGCCTGTCGCTGTAAACTGAGAAAATGCACCTTTTTCCAATAGGTTCTTTAGTCCTTCCCATTTCAAGACGCCATCATATAAAGTAAGATCCTTAACTTTCCACCAGATTGGAGGCTTGAAGACTGACTTCTGTTTTGTGCTACTGCTTTAGAGTAGTAGCACTCTGCACAGAGTCCAGAGCTCCTGGCTTGCTTGGTTGTACGGAGCAAGAGGGTGTCTGGGGTGGTGACTTCTCAGCATCATCATGGTGAATTCATAACTTGCAAACCATGATCGGCCTTGCCAGCTGCTTCACTCTGTGCTCATTCTCTTAATAGTTTGAAAGCAAGTGTTCAGTTTAGTGAGAAAAAGAAGTCATTGAAAATTCTTTTAGATTTCTCCTTGCAGAAGACTGAAGTCTGACCAAAAACCATTATTGCCTTTCCTCTGCCCTTTTTTAGTCTTTGTGATCCATACCTATCCTATCAAAGATGTATCAAAGATTCTTGTGTCCTACTGCAGTACTCCTATCAGTCTTGTGATCTACGGCTAAAAACAAAAATGCATTGAATAAAACCTTGCAAAATTAAGACAAGGATATTCTGCAGTTTGGGGTTTATCACTGGAATGTGTGATAATTTGCAAACAGAAGGGCAGGATTGTCTCCGTTCTTCATGCCTCCTTGGGGCAACTCAGGAAGACTGTTTGTCTGCAGAAGCCGTATCAGCTGAGATGATATGAGTGCAGACTCTTCATTTTCAATTAATCATTCTCTTCATTCCCAGGCATCATGGTCTGAGCCAGTTTGGAGCTGAGCCTATAATCAAAGCTGTTGACTTCCACGACATTTGTATGAAAGTCATTGCTTAATGCCCGATAGCAGGAAGGACAAGGGACCTGAGATGTTCATGTAACTACAAGATGCTAAGTAGCCACCAAACTATGAGATAATTGACAGAACATGAATACCATGCAGAAAAAGGAGTTGCTGTTGGTCTTACCAGAGCTACTCTCTATTGCAGTGGGAACACATTCTGCTATTTCACGAATATTTATTCCACTTTTATTGGAAGGAGAATTAAACATCTGTTTTCTGCTGTGAAGTGTAGCTGCAAAGAAATAAGCTGGATAGCTGGGCTGTAAATAAGTCAGATTTTGAGGCCAGTATCCAGTACTAACCAGAAATTTTTCTTCTCTGATCTGTCCTGTGGATTTTCAGTGCAGATCCACACTGCATATTCCTCACCACTTGGCTGCACTGATACCCAGTTAATGGGAATTCCCCACACCAGATGAGTGAAGATGACATTTACATGATGTGATGTGCATATAATGTACCACATGGTAAGTCAGAGGAGGTTTGTGATCTGGACAGGCCAGATTCTCCTTTGCTATTGAAATGACGCAATCTCCTACACTTTGGAGCATAATCAGAAGTGTTAATCCCAAGCGTTAAAAAATTCTGAATCAGCTTTCTGTCCTGTCAAAACCAAAGTAAAAGTTACTTAAGCAGAAGATGTTAAAAATAATATTTAATGGACTCCACTGTTTTGGGTCCTCTCAGTACAGTCATAAGTGGAAGAAATTGTTATTAATTTAAATAAACAGAAGATGAGATTCTGGAGATGCACAGACCTCCAGGAGCTAAAGCTTAAAGGCAAATATTCCAAGAATTATGTTAAAATTCTTAGAGGCAAAACCAAATAAAGATATTGAATTCTTTTGTTTATTAATTTAATTCTCATTCATTCTGCAAGTCTATTTTGTCTTACTGTCTTATTTAACTATGGAGTTTTTTACACTGAAAGCACAGGAACCAGAGGAAAGCTAATATTCTGGGTTTCTTGGAAAGTCTCCAAGTTCTTAGAAGGAAGTGGCAAAAATTTGAACAGCTCAGGTACCTTTCCTGGCACACCTGGTAGAGGTACAGGATAAAAACCAGAACTGCGTCTGAAATTGATAGGTTTGTTTAGGAGACGTAGTCCCAAAGTAAAACAGTCCAACAAATGAAAAGATGCTGGAAAAAGGCTTCTCTAAATGTAAAGATGAAATGTTTAATGAAGTATTTATATGCAAAGAGAGAGGAAAATCATGCACTCTTGTAGTGAGATTAATAAGCCTATGGTATCTGGGCAATAGTGTGAGGAATTCAACAAGTCCTGTTCCAAACAAATTTACAAACATAGTATTTTTTTTTCTCTATAATCCAGTTTCCACTGATTTGTTCCACTGATATGGTTTGTTTAGAAACCTCAGTTAAGTCTATGCAAAGCACTGTACACTGTACTCTTAAATTACTTAAAAATTAGCTTGTATATCTATTGAAAGATTTTGCCCAAAGAAAGTCTGGTAAATCAGTGTGGGTCAATATCAAGGTGTACGGTTCAGGTCTGGTACAATGACAGACACAAATTTAATTGGCGCTACCAGTTTTGTGCTACTATAACTGAGCACACAGAGATCTGCTTCTAGTTTTCCTAACTATCTCTTATACTGCTTTTGTCCTTCTACTGGTGCACAGTTTGAGTGTATATGTGGCTGTGCCCCCTCCCAGCTATATACCAATGTACAATGGAAGTCAGATTTAGAGCCTGAAGGCCTGCTCCTGAGCTGGTGGAAATGAATGAAAATCCATTCCACTTAATAGAGGTTATATCAGGTGAAATTCTTGCTCATGACAATTCATATGCATAATTTTATACATAACTATATCCCCATAAGGAAGGATTTTGAATAGATCAAAGCAGAGGATTTTTGTATAATAATACCACCACCATCACTAACATGTACTCCAGAAAAAAGGAGGATCACAACAGAAATATATTTCTTTGACCTAAAGTTTTTCAAGAAGTATAATCATGTTATAAATCTCACATTTAAATGATGTGATGCACCAAGCAATAGGCAAGACATGGCATATGGATCCCAGCCTTTTGACACTCCTGAAAATTTCCTTTTTGAACTGATTCTTGTAATCCAAACAGCTTCTACAAACAGTGCTGGCATTCTTCTTTTCTTGAGGTTTGATGTCTTGAGGTTAATGTCCTGATTGACTGACCCTCACATACCACTTGAAAATGCCCAACTGCTCAAATTACATGAAAACATAGCCCAGCCTTCAGTAAATCCCCTGCAGCAAAGCTGTTATTCTGCCTATGCACATGCATTCACACCTGCAGTGCCATGGCCTGGTCTGTTAGCACCATTGGTTTTCTCTGTGCTGGGCTCCCTGATAATGCAACGGGCACTCACAGCTAATGTGAGCAAACTCAAAGCCCAAAAATGCTTGGCTATTTCCAAGCAAGAAATAAAGAGGGCTCAGCATAAATGGCCCTCAAATCTACAGCATATGTATAATTATATATTGCAGGTGCAGATGAAAATGTCTCTTTGTTTTGGTACTAGAGCAAGACGGAAGGCATCAGCATCGTCTTTTCCCCCACTGCCAGGTATCTTGATAAGGCCACTACTCACCTTGAGGTTTTTGTTGTGCCTCTGGAGCTCCCGGCACAGGCTCTCAAGCTTGCTGCGGGCGAGGATGGCTCGGCTGTGCTCACTCTGTAGATGGTCCTTCTCCTTGGTGACCTGGGCCTGCCTCTTCTGCAGGTACTTGAGCTTTTTTTGCTCAGCACGATGTTCTTCGAGCTGGGCAAGGAACAAGGATTAAAATGAAAGAAAGAGAGACAGGAGAGAAAAGAAATCTAGTTCATTTGGTTTTAGGAAAGTCTTTACACTTTCTTAACCGCTTAGGAAATGTTCTGTTTTTATCAGCACTAATGGGAGAGGAGAGAGCGACCTGAAGGGAGTTGCAAGCCCACTGCTGCAACAGTCCCAAGTGCGCTGTAGTGTGGTGTGGGTGGGTGAACATAATTTCTAACACACTTGTCACACCATTTCAGCCTTTCCTTCCTTGATCTGAACTTCTTTGAAGGACACCTGTGAGGTTTTTATCTTTGCGTCAATGTTAGGAACTTGAGCAGCTGGTAGTGCATTACACGGTGAGATTTCTCCAGACCATGAGACAACGCAGGAGTTGCTCATTCTGTTTTTGCAGCTTCCTGAAAAAGAAACAGCTTCCAGCAAAGAGGTGCTGGAAACCAGGGATGCTGTTTGTGTGGGGTCTTTGCTGCTGATGGAGGAGAATGCTCTGGAGGGAAGTGTTCCCCAAAATGATGAGTGGGTACCTCCTCTTCCCAGGCTCCACTTCCTCACAGGAGCACAGGGGAGCACTCATCACTTGTGTTCCTGGAGGTGCCATCAACAATGTACGTGGGTTATGGTGAATCAAACCTCTTTTGGGCTCTTTGGCTCCATATAATTACTAAAGAAAACATGGACAATCCCTGACATTCACTTGGAAACCTGCTGTTCCTGTGGGTGCATGGCTCCTGCCTTCCCTAGACAGCTGGCAGGGAGGAAGGTGTATTTGGAAGGGAAATGAGGGGCATCAACAGAATTGCTAACACCAGTCCCCACACAAGCCAGTAATTTCTTCTAGCATGTGCCTGTTACTGGCTGTTTTGGAAAAATTCCCTGCATTGCATATTAACACCATAACAGTCACATCAAAGAGGCATTTCATCTCTGAAGCTTTTAAAGATTTTCTCCCTTTCCAAAACACAGCAGCCCTCCTTGCTGTATTACAGGCGTGCATACGTTGCGAGATATTTCTGAAGTCCAGCTGTTTTTTGGTTGAAAAATAGCAGCACATGAGCTGCAGTGCGCAAACCTTGATAATAACAGTTGCTGTTAAGATAACATCATCTAGCAATATGGTACCACTAGTATTATTAACCCCGGTATGACTGGGAAAGTTTGTGAGTGCAGGGGAATGATGTGCAGCTCAAACAAGAAGGTCAACAGCCATCATATATTACACTTTCTCTGCCTGAGGTTTTGTTTTCTGCAGATGTTCTGTAATTTATGCTTACAGTAGAGAGCTGTGTGTATTATCAATCAAATCACAGCTAGGCCTGCTACGAAACAATGCAATCACCAGCTTGGAGTATATTTAGTTTATGCCCAACTTTCAGCATGTGTAATTGTGTGGGTTTACCCCCATAGATCAGAATAGGGGCTTTTGCATCTAATCAAGCTGCACTAGCTGAAATAATATTTCTAGTATTGTAGGGAAAAAATAGCTTCTCTGTAATGAAGGCTGACATTTTTTTTCCTCTATAAGCTTGATTTTGGCCCTTTCCCTTTTAAAAACACACAAATAGGGTTCTTTTTGTTTCATATTTTGCATGTGCAGCCTGTGCTGAGTGGATAATGATTTATCCAAATTTGAGACGATTCACTCAAGCTGTGTGAGATAGGGGGCTTAGAATAAAGTAGGTCTTAATTGTGATATGAGAAGTCTTCCAAGCATTTTCTGCTTTCTTGTTTTAACCCCCACAGAAATGACTTGTGCTAAAAGCTTGTATTTTAAAGTTCTCAGGAATGTCTCAGACATAGTCTTACTTTTGTACTGAAGAAGAGAATTCACTGGTAAACAGGAATGACAAAAGGGCCACCAATAATAAATTTTTAAGAATAATTAATATTGGCTAAACCTAACTACAAATAGAAGGAATTCTGATTTTGGAGGGCTGACATAAAGAGGTGAACTCTCCACTTAGGAAAAAAAGTTTTATCTTGATCCCAGTGAAGAGAATGGTAACACGTTTATTTATTAGGGCATAGTTCTTGCACCCAGCACTTGTGAGACCCTCAAGACCACTGAAAATAAGCTGGTTACAAGCAATTCTGCAATAGCTGTTTGTAGAAAAAAGCTGAAGTAAAGCACAGCCTGCTTTACTAGCCCCAACCATTCTGCCTACACCAGTATTAGTGAATAAAATGTTCTCTAATGGCAAGAAGCATGGCACAGCTGGTATCCAAAAGGCTATGCTGACTTGCTTTCCTGTCCCTGCAGGCATGGCTTCCTTCACACCAGCCCTGCCTTCCCTGATGTCTTCCATCTTTTGGGGTAGCCCTTGCTATAGACTTGTGCTGGGGCTTGTATTAACAGTTAAATAGTATAAAGTCTGTGGGGTAGTGCTGCATAGTGTGCCCGAGCAGAGCATCTTAAACCACAGCTAGCAGCAACAGTACTAACAGGGCTGAAGCCATTGCCAGCACCCAGCTCAGCCTGGCACATGGCTGCACCTTCTCCTGAGCTGTGCTGCAATAAGTGTTTGTGTCACCACAGGGTTCACCCAGCCAGGGAGCTGATCCAGTTGGAAAACAACGCAGCAAAAGCAAAAAGTGACCTGAAGTGTGTGATGGGGATGAATAAGAGGGAGCAAAGAGTGGTAATTACTGCAGCTTACTGCTGATAGGTTGTTAACCACACTACACCCCTCAGCCATGCTAAGTAAGCAGTTTCAGGCTTTATCCAACAAGCTTTTAGTTGTATTTATCAAGTGGTTTAATTTAGTCACATTGCCCAGGATGTCAAAAATGAATACTCAGCATTTTCTTTTAGCACCTTTCTCCCACAGGGCAATATGGCCCCTGTTTTATAAAGTGCTTCAGTGATATTTGAATGCAATGGAGAGTACATTATAGAGGAAGAAGACCCATTTCAGTTAATCTGTGGGAATGAAGTCCCTTTAAGCATGAGCTAAACCATAAACAGCCTGAGACCATATTATGAAATCAGAGGATTTTACATGAAAAAAGGGAAAGCTGAACTTCTCACACATGATGAGGCATGGACACATCTGTGCATAAAACCAATTATAAAGTCAACGTTCTGCTTAGCACATTTTTCAGCACTCCACATACTGTAAAATGCTGCAGCCTTCTCATTTGTAAGATTTCCACAGCTTAAGGCCATACAGCTCTTTAACTAGAAGAAAACACTTGATCTGAAAATAACCCACCTTAAGTATAGAAAGAATAGAGTCAGGGAGGTGGCAGTGTTACAGAGATGACATGGTGGCAAGGGTTTGACTCTTCATTTCACTGTGTTGTAGTTTCTGTCATGATCAGCCTCAGTTCTCCATTTTCTGATCTTCTGCTTCCTAACATTTTCTACTAAGCCCTGATTTATTTTCATTTGGTTAAATCACTGATACACAGTTTAAAGCAATGCTCGCATGCAGAGGTATGTAAAACTCCTTGCAGAAGGGGAAGGTGGGAGCAGAGACACCAGTCTCCAGTGTGAGCTGTTTTAGCAGAATTGCCTTTAAGTACAAATATTCTGCCTCATCAGTTTTTTAACCCAAAGTCCAGCTTGTTTTCCTCACGTTTTACTTTTTTTCTCCTTCTCACCCATAATTGATTATTTGACCCTGACAATTATTTTGGGATATAATTACCAGCACAGACGCTATCACTACATGAGGTTTGACCATGCTACATAGCATATGCTTTTTATACCTTCCTGTATAGACAGTTTGCACAGAAAAGAACCAATGCTGTACTAACCAGCTCAGCATACTTCTTAAATAACAGGTCCAGCTTCTCCTCTGGAGTATTCAGCTTGTTCAAGCTTTGCATCAGTAAGGTGGCTTCCTTCCCTTAAAAATAAAAAAAGCAGCAGAGATGTGATAGTAGAGGTAGGTCGTAGCTCATGTATTGTTATGAAATTGTTTGATGCGTGGATCTGTAAAAACTCCATGAGAAATGAGGTATTTTGGAAGGAAGGAATAAATTTTGCAACAAATTTCTGGAATTTTCTTCTCCCCACAAGAACAAACATGCTTGAATCTTCTTCCATTTCAGACCTCAGTAATGCGCTGTCTTCTAGCAAAAGAACTGGCTGTGAAATGCTTTTGTCCTGTATAATCTGATTTTCATTTAATAATTTTGCAACATTACTGGATCGCATATATGGCATATTTGACTGAAATAGGACGGAAACTCTGAAATCAGATCTATTTGCAGGCAAAAACTGATCAAAGCTGGTGTACTCAGCTCCTGTGCTGCTCAACCCGTACAAGACATGAGGAAGATTAAGTCAGGTATGAAGACTGTGGTGTTGATGGAAACACTCAGAGAAGCAGTTACTACTTACTACACACCAGAGGTGGACTACATGATAGGGGCGCAATCAGTTCCCTGACCTGACAAAGAGAGTACAGGTACCAGAGACTGTCTAATAACTATCTGGGCATGAGTAGCTAAATCACTACATAGCCATTTATGTATTGCTTCTCTTCTGATACCTCTTGGTATTCATTCCAGACCTGCGTAAGAGCTGAAGCTTGAACACTACTTGTTCATCAAATACAAAATCTCCCTGGTGTCCCTGGAGATAAGGATGGCTCTGATGACAGGGGCTTGAAAGTGCTTTCCTATATGCTCCTCTTTCCTGAAGCTGCGACAGCAAATTTGTTTTCTGCTTTATGTTGGACTTTTTCTGCTCCAGGCCTAGCGCAGTTCAGGAATACTGCCTGTGGAGAAAATCCACTGTTTCACACTCAGTTCTCACTACCGCACCAGTATAAACAAGTTGAAAAGAGCTTAAATAAAACCCTGGAGCGAAAACTGTTGCAACTGCAGCTGGAAAACTGAGCTTTGGTAGTGTTTTCACTGATAGCAGAGAGGTCCTAACAACTGCACCAAACCCAAACCAGTGGAAGCTGATTAGCTTTCTTTTCCTAGATATTCAAGGAATTTGGGCAAAAAAAATCCTTGCTCTGTCCTATGCTTAATCCCTTATCTGTAAGAACGTCCTTTAGTGATTTTTCCCATAGGATTAGTCTGCTGTTGGGTTTGGGTTGTCACATGAAACAGTCTTGAAGATTGTCCTGAGTTAAATGTAGAAAGGCAGATGACTTGCGTTTCCAAGATTGGATGTAGCTACATTGCTCTCTAGCGGCTGCCCAGCGGGAAGGACATTACAAAAACCTGAGACTTCTAGCTCAGCTAACAGAGCCCTGCCATGGCTGAGCTGCTCTCTACACACTGTACTTAGAGAAGATAAACTTATTGGCTTATTTCATATAGTCTGTGATGAGTCTGCTAGACGAAAGGCAACTCGGGCATAACAGTGAATTTGCTCTGCAGATTTCCACACCACATAGTAGCACCATTATAACTGGTGATAAATAATACCTGAGGAAGCAGGGGAAGAAACAAATTTACTGAGGCACAAACAAGAGACCAGGTTTTCCTTTGTCTAAGAAGCAGCCTTGCACAGTGTGTCATCAGACTCAGAGTTCTGGCTAACTAGTTTGGGCAGCCCAATAGTACATCAGAATTACATGAGATAATCCAAAAATTTTGCCTTTTTAAAAGGAATAATATCTGACACAGCCTACATGTATCTGTTGGGTAACCACTGAAGATAGCTATCAGTTAGAGAAAGGTTGTAAGAGCCGCTGTAATTTTCAGTGGTAACTAGAGGTCCGTATCATCCACGGCAGCGGCTTAACACTGGGAAAAGCAAGAACCAGGGAGTTTTTACTTCTGTTCACAGGAGGGCTGTGTAAGTATGCAAGTACTTGCCTAGTCCTTTCAGGATTTTCTTCTCCAGCTTTTGCTCCTTGCTGCCACTGGCTTCTTTTGCTCTGGAAGCATCCCCAGGAGCCAGCTTCTCTTTCTCACTCTCCTCATTTACATCTTCATACTCTGCATCCTCCATGCTGCCTGGCTCTCCCTTCTCAGGCCTGTCAGTTCCTGTAGTGGCACTTTCCTTCTCCATTAGGCTTACAGCAGACCCATAGGTTTTAATAATGTCCTCCAGCTGCCGGCTCAGCTCCTCTGAGATATCACACACAGCCGCTTCAGGGCAGGCATTTGGTTGCTCCATGGGTGCTGGAGCAGGGGTCTGAGAGCCAGGGGCAGGTTTACCCCCGCTCTGCCCCTGGATGTCCTGTCCAGTCGAGGTGGGAGGCTGGTCATTTTCCATGGTTGGTGCTGTACCTGACAGCAAACAAATGGAGGATTAGTTTAAAAACACACAGAATTAGTCATCTCGCTGTTCCCAGAGGCTGGTCAGCACCTGAGTGATTTTGTGTGGAATTTGGGATGGCAGCTCATCTGTTGGCTCTGGCTTGATAAATATGTCACACTTAAATAAACAACTGAGGTGATTTGCCTGCAGGGAGAAAAGCAAATTACATACATTCCAAGAAGAAAAGCCTGGCCAAATCTAATACGTGAAAACCAAAACCTCTTATTCCCATTGCCAGTGACAACACACAAAATGACACCAGCATCATTTATACAATTTCCCTCCCCAAACACACTATTTGCCACATGTTTACTTTTCTTGATCTGTTTAACTGCAACACTGTCTACCAATATGGGCAGCTTCACTTCACAGCTATATCAATTTCAATTCCCATCTCTCTCCCATCGGCACATCTTAAATCAATAAGTACAAAAGAGGAATATTTTAAATGAAACCTGTGCACTGAAAATTGTTCTGTGGTCTTGGAGAGCTCAGCATGGTGCTTGATCTGCAAGAGTCTTGGCTTGGTACTGTCACAATAATGGCAAAGAACAAGATAAGCAGCTATAACACACTCTTCTCTTGTACTTGACGCGTGCTGTTGACAGCTTGTTTGACAAAGTACAAAATATAGAATAAATCACAGCAAGGTAAAACTGACCAGGCGTAACACGGTTTTGATAGTCTGGTATTTTCTGGGGTGAATTTCAGCTTATTTGTTCCCAGTTTGCAAAGGGAAGCTTCTGTTTTCTCATGTCTTTGAGTGGCTGCACTCAGCCAGGTGAATACAGAGTCCCCATTCTGTGTTCCTCTGGAAGCTGCTTCAGCTTACCCAGGACATGATGATAAGGGTGTCAGTGAGAGTGTCTCAGGCACCTGCTCCCAGCTCCTGCAAGGTGTGTGCCAGCACAGCATCTCTGTTTGTGGATGGTGTGTAAATTTCTACAGCTTTCAAAATCATAAATTGACTTGTGCAAAGGCAGTCTTTGATAAGAGAGATGTAATTTACTGTAATACATGACTCAGTGGTTGGTATTAAACTCTCTTCACTCAAAGTGATGTTTGGAACCACAGTGATGGCCATCACTAAGGCAACATTTTTCAAGATGTCTAGCTATTTGACTGGGCATACAGTCAATACAGTCAAATATTATGGTTATCATGTCTCAAGCAAATAACTGAAGGCTTTGAGTGGGGGTCAAGATGTGCTTGAAAACTGATAGCTATAAATTCATACCCCAGCAGTTCTTCCAAAGGTACAACTTGCCAGCAGGAATGCTTGGGAAGGCCCCTGGACCTGGTCTCACAGACCCTGCCAGACAGACTCATCCCATTTGTTCCTTCCTGCTTGCGGCACGGCCATTTTATCCCTGCAAAGTGATTGTGAAATTACATCCACCTGATTTGACGTCATTGAGTTTAATTTATGTTGAAAGATTAGACCCTACATGTGTAATTTAGGTAAATAATTCCAGATAGCATGAGTGTAAGACTAGTTTGTGATCTTGTTTTAACTGAAGTTAATTGACTGCAAAATAATTCAAGGTCAGTAAGATTATTGCAAATGCTAAACTAGAAGATCCACAAAATATATGATTACTTCTGACATGTTCAGACTAATGTTTATAATTGTATTCAGTAATTTGAGCTAATTGGCAATCAATCAGCTAAAAAACTCAGGATCACCAGCTCTTGTCTAGACAGAACAAAAGTCTCACAAAGTATATCCCCAATTTAAACTAGCTATTTTTGTCATAACATTCATCACAGAAGGAGAACAGGATCACTAAACGCTCCATTTCCAAATATTAATTTCTCTTCCAGCTATCTCCCCTGTTTTGTGAGAAGGCACAAGTGAACGCAGTTCTCACTGCACCCCAGCTCTCTCCCTTGGCTGCCTCCCAACTCCCAACTGCATTGCTTATGGAGCAGCACTGTCCAGCTAATGGTTTCCTCCTACATGAATCACGAAGCATGCCTGCAAACACAGTAGGCTTTAAGTCAATAAGAGCAAATGATTTATGCACGGTGTTTCTCAGTAATAAGGGAAAACCATGGGTGAATGAAGGAGAAACTGGATGTTTAGAATCAAGGACCCAAGATGTTTAAAAGCAGGCACTGCAGGAAACCTTTCCTAACATACATTCCTGGCTAGAAAGGGATTAGTTATAATCAGTTTCTGAAACTATGGCAATTCACATTTGCTGAGGTTCAGGCCATCAGCATGCAATGGTGAGTGGGCAGGAGCCACAGAAATACCCAGCAATGAACCTTTAACCCAAGGGTGCCAACCTGCAGGGTCATACCAGGGACTGTATTTACACGCATTAAAATTAGTATTTTAATGCTTTGTTCCATTCTTCTCCAGGCTAAAGCAGATGACTGATAACTACTTTCAATCACCAACATGACATTAAGACTTCTGTACCTTGTTTTGCATAATGGCTTCCATGCCTCACAGAGTTTCCATTTAGGGAGACAGGGCAGCTCTCATCTGCTGAAAGTAGCCCACTTAACAGCTTTTAATGCTGGGAGACTTTACTGCTATTAGCCCCAGTCGTCCTAGTCCTCTAGCCTGTTTAACCTTGATGTATATCAGGAATTCTTCCTTATCAGGCCATAAAAGACTTTTAGTGCCAATCTCAGCAACACACAAAGTGTTTACATTATATGCTGTTTTAGACACAGTAATGCCGAAAAATTAGGTGACTGAGCCCAGAAGAGGAATTCCTTGGTTCCTCCAGGAATTTTAGACCTGCCCAATTTTAGACTATCTACTTCCTGAAGTTTGTGACTTCTGCTACCCTTACAGTTGTCTACAGGCACCTGAATTCCCAACACAGCCTTATCCTGTTTTATGGCAAGGGTTGTGGGGACTGACGAGTTATTTGACCAAGTCTGAGCATTGCATCTTGTTTGCTGTTTTCCTCCTGCAGTCCCAAATCCTGGACCTGTTCCACAGTTTGAGATCAGTCTTTCCCGGCCCTAGTGTCTTGGATTGAAACTTGATCCCAGACACTTGTGGTTGCTGCCCACAGATAGTCACGGTGCCCCTCCTCTCCTCCAGTGGAAACACCCCTTAGAGTCAGAGGGTGCTGCCGCCTCTCCGTTGTGGGAGCGGCTCTTCTCCATCCTTCTCCATCCTTCTCCTTCCTCTGGGATAACCCAGCAGGACAGTGGAGCTCCTTGGGGCACAGGTGACCTCCGGTCTCAAGTGGAAGGTGACACTGGTCCCAGGCTGATGCCTTTTTGTAGGAGGACTCATGGCCATGCCTGCCGTCCCTCAGTGAGACTGTTGCTCGCAGCAGCAGCCGTCTGTGTTTGGCCCCAGTGGCACAAACCCGGGCTGAGCGCACAGCACAGCCGCAGCTGCACTCAAAGGCAACAGAAAAAGGTGCGTGCTAAGCTCAGCCTGGTAATATGCAGTGTTAATTTGTCTCTGTATCCTTTAACATTTCACATTAGGCCACAATTTGCCTTCGCTCTGCTTTGAAATCAGCCAGTACTTTCAAAGTAAAAGGTCAGTCAGCAAGAACCAGTGCCTGATTTAGCAGAGCTGCAGCAGCCATTCCTCTGCTGCTGGGAAAAGCATGCCTGTCCTGGGCTGCGTCGGCACCAAAAGAGCCGACCCTGCTGTGAGGCACAAAACACAGAACACATGTCCTTCGCTTCTCTTGCAGATTGTCCTACGTGCTGTTGCAGAGTTTTGTTTATCTTCTTTTAAACAGAGTGATTCCCCTTCCTTCTTTTCTGGGATTTGCTTCCTCCTTCCCTTCTTGCAGCTTGAAGTTCTAGGGGGTTTACAGACTTAGACTATATTTAGCTCTTGCCTCCTGTGTATCCAGCAGAAGGACACATGGCACCTGCTCTGCAGCCAGGAGTTATTTTAAGCGCTTCTAAAATGGGTGTTGGTATTTAGCACTTTACGCTCAAAATTCTCGTACAGACACGCAGAGTTCTCTAAAACGAAGCATTCCATACACTTGCACCAGCCAGCATATGTTGATAAAATCTGAGATTTTACCTCTACATGACGCCAGACTTTACTACAGTAACACCTCAAAGCGGCAAACATGAAGCTCTGGAATGGCCCACGCTACTGCAGCTCCAGTTACCCTCCAGAAAAACACAAGTGCCTTATTATAGCCTAGGCACTGTCCTATGTATTACTTCGGAAAGCGGAGATAAATCAGCTTTATCAACTGTGTGCTACATTTGAAAACCTTTATGATTTATGCACAGTTTTCTAGTACGAAACTGAACAAAAATTTGGAGGCTTCATGGCAGGTTTTTCTAAAGGCATAGAAAGAACCAGACTCAAAGACTTTCTATAGTCCCCTGCCTCAGCTCTCATGCCGTACCTGAGTCTTGATCACTTACTCTTGTGACAAGTCAGCTATAGCTCCAGTCTCACTTAAAGGCAAGCTCTACCAAAGTCAGCTTCTCTTCAGAGAAGCATTTCTTACTTTCACCAACAGCCTGAGATACTTGCCTGTTTTTCTCACACATCACACGGGCTTTTAAGGCTATTCCTGGAAAATGTGAGCTGACAGTCCCAAAAGTAAGTACTTTACTTAGATTAAAGCCCTTGCACCATGCCACCAAACAATGACAGCAAGAAAGCTGTTCATCAGACTTACCGGAGCAAAGAGGAGAGCTGAGCAGAGAAAAAAAGTCAATCAGAAAGCTCAGACAAGGGCACGGCAGCAACAGGACACTGGTACTTTAATTCTGCCACTGAGGGAAGAGGGTCGGGAAGACCAAGAGAGGGGGGAAGGACAGAATGACACAGCAGGAGCAAACACTGTGCTTTGCAGGGGACCGGCTCTGATAGGCGAGCTGGGAGGCTGCCTGCTATCTGGCAGCATAAGTCAGCTATGTTGGCTATTCCCTGCTCCAACAGGGATAACACGAGAGATTCAAGACTAGGGCCCTCAGAAAGAGAAAATAAAGGAAGGATTTGTACACAGCTGCTAGTCTTCAAAATTAAGTCTTAATCCTTCAATGTCTTGATGCATTGTGCTGTGAAATTTGTCTGTATTGACTATGGATTGGTCAAATTAGTGTAATTTTCCTGTCTGTACCAGAAAGATTGGGATGGCTTTCCATGATGTGAACCTGGGATTTGGGCAGGATTTGTTAGAAACCTGTCTGCTTTTTAATCATAGAGTCACTGGCTGGATGGGACCACAGGAGGTCTTTAGTTCAACTTCTTGATCGAAGCAGGCTTTGCTGTGATCTCTCAGGTCTCTCAGGGCTTTACATTGATCTTAAAATTCTCCAGGGATGGAGACTGCATAACCTCTCTGGGAAGCCTGTTCTCCTGCCTGCCTGTCATATTGAAAAAGTTTCTCCTTATACCTAGCCTGAACTTCCCTTGTTTCAGCCCCTCACACCTTACACCGCTATGAAGAACCTGTTTCTGTCTTCTTGATAGGGCTGCAGTTTGGGGGCCTCCAAAGCTGTCTCTTCTCCAGGCTGAACATCCCACTTCTCTTGCTTCTCTTTATGGGACAAGTGCTTCAGCCCCAGCCACTGTGGTGACCTTCCAGTGAATTGACCAGCCTCTCTCATTGGGGCAGCAGTACTAATGGAGATGGCTGGTGTAGCTGTCCCCCTGATCCCAGTAGCTCCCAAACAAATGTTCTCATTGCTGCAAAGGTAACCTGTCTGGACTACTTTCTGCATGTTACTGTGCCAACTCACATTGGCCCAAAGTTGTTTATACAAACAAGCAGAGCATACCCTAGGGAGCTCAGCTGCACGCTCTTCATCCAGCAACCAGCATCTCCCACTTCTGTGACCCAGAAGCCACTCAGGCAGCATCTTGAGATGCCAGATGGCCTAAGGACCATCTGCTGCCCACTCCCTAGGGAGAGATGTAGGTCAGTTTAATGCACAAATATGCAAACAACTGAGAAGCAATAGGCTGATACTGGAAGTGGCAGCCAGGGCTATTAGAAGCCAGAAGAACTGGGACTTTGGCTCCAGTGAAAAATAATACAATCAAGCTCAGAACAATAACAGGAGGAAAAACACATGTATGCTACAATGATATGGAGTAAGTCTTTAAACCAAACTGTTGTTGCATGGCACTAGAGGTCTCAGAAATGTTTTGCACCTGATTTACAAGGGTATATGAGAGAAAACAGTAGTGGGCAGTACTGGGCACCTCAGTAGCCAAAAGTACTGGCTTAGAAATAGTCCATGTTAGCAGCATCTCAGACTTTCACTGGAGAGGACTAAATGTCCTGCTATATTTGTTAAGACAGTGTGTGGGGGGTAGAAAGAACATACTTAGAGTGATTTCTCATTAGTCTTATCTACTTGAAAAGGCAGCTCATATTATCTGGGGGTGCATGGGCATCGTGCTTCAAGGAAAAATTAGTTCTTTGAATCTTCTTCAGACACTGGTGGTGGCTTGGTATTGCTCCTAAGGAAGTCACAGATTCAACAATAATGACAGGGAGATTGCAAGGTCAGGGGCTTTTGTTGTGAATCTTTTGGAAGGGGTTGGAAACCAGCTGGATGTTTTGGGAGAAGATGAAGCCTGTGACAGGGCGTCCTGAGCGAGCAGACTAACAGTGAAGATAAGGGTGTTTGTTCAGGCTCCTTGTGCTCTTCCTGTTTTAATTACAGATTTCTTCTGTTCCAGTCCCCTGTTCATTTTTCTGTTGAAATAAAATCAGCTCCAGGGTTTCTGAGATCAAAATGCGCAACTGAGCTACCAAGGACCTAAGCAGCAGCTGGGCTGTGGAAAGTTACTCCAGCATATCCTCACTCTTGGCAAACACAAGGCAAGACATGTTCAGCTTTGCTCTCTTTCACTTGGGTTAAAGCTATTGCGTGCAAGCTCATTTTTGCAACAGCCTGACAGCGTGCACACAGTCCCTTATTATAGCTCAAATGACATGCAAGGATCCACTGGGCAGTGAGAACTTGGTCATGTTCTTGAGTCGTCAGAGCATACTGATAACAGGAAATTTGTTTGGCTCATCATAAAAATTAGCTGCAAGAAATACAAAGCTACATGTTCTGAGTTGTTCCTAAATATGCAAGTAAACAAAACAGTCTGGTACAGTCAAGGAGTGGAAAAGGGCAGATAAAACCAGTGTTCCTGAGTATGTGGGGAGTATGTGTATGTAGTTCTGGAAGATTAAAAGAGATCTGCTGAATTTGGTCGCATGAGTTGAAGCAACCACCTTAATAATGGAAAACAAAACTCAGGCTGAGAAATTTAAAGGAGTGTGTTGAAACTGCCATGGAAACAATTTACATGCTGACTACAACCAGCTGACTGGCATCCACACTCTGTACGCTGGTATGGTTGCATCTGGTGAGCTGAGGAGAGAGCTGGCTGAAAACGCTCTCTGTGAAACCTACACTGCTTCTGAGGTTTCTGCTTTTGCGATGCATTGGGTATTTCATGTCCCCGTTGAGGGGAAGAGAAATAAAAGCTTTCTCTAGTCCATGAGAAAGAGGAGAAATGTACCTTCCTCATATGAAAGCTAGACCACTCCTTGAGAATTTGCCGTAATAAAGCTGAATTTATTTTTCAATTGTGTTGAGTTGTGATCTGGACTGCATATCTATAACCCTACACTTTCTTTGTTGTGCTGTGGCATTTCCACTGAGGTTGCTTGCACTGTTACACAGAAATTGCCTGTTTCTGGGTTAAACATAATCATCAGCAGCATAAATATACTGAAGATAGAGTCTATCCAGGGGAAAAAAGCTAATAAGTAATTTTCTACCTATATTTACAATTTGCTCTATATGATAGTCAATGCATTCAGCCTTATCAAACAGACAAGTTAATCATTAAATCAATGCTGCTGAAGCATTTGAATTTTCTTCCTATCTTTTTCTGCCCTGTTTTTCCTTCCTTTCCCCAGGCCATTTTCCTGAACTGCAACATTCAGCTCTCACCTGCTGATGCTCTCTCCCTCTTTCCAGTACTAATGTCATTGGCATTGAAAAAATTACTTTTTGGGGGGTTGTGTATTCTTTTTGCATGACATAGGAAGGTTTAGGTGAGTGACCAGTGCTTGAAGTTCAGAGTCTCTCTTGCAGATGCTGAAAGGCTTTAAAAATGTAGACTTTGTCAGAAGGCAGTACTGTGTTGGTTAAAACCACTTTTAAGGGTTTTGAGGGTTTCTTTTTCACCACCAGCAATGGCAAGCCTTAATTCTTCTTCCACCTAAAAACCAGCTAAGTTTCTGCAGAAGCCCTAATATCCCCTGGAAGCCCTACTGACTGATTTGGTCTTCAGGCCAGTCTCCTAACAGAAGAAGAGGCTGGGGAGGGTCTCCTGCCTTTTGCACTTGCCAGAAAAGAGCCATCTGCACCCCCTGCAAATTGTAGCTGCTCTGTTCCATGAGACCCTGTTTGCCAGCAGCACAAGAAAATCTGGAGACAAGCATTCCTGGTTCTGTCATACAGGGAGATGCAAGCTTCAGTGAAATCATAGAATTCATAGAATCATAGAATAGTTAGGGTTGGAAAGGACCTAAAGATCAACAAGTTCCAAGCCCCCTGCCATGGGCAGGATCACCTCACACTAAACCATGCCACCCAAAGCTCTGTCCAACCTGGCCAGAACACCAACAGGGATGGAGCATTCACAACTTCCTTGAGCAACCCATTCCAGTGCCTCACCACCCTAACAGGAAAGAATTTCCTCCTTACATCCAGCCTAAACTTCCCCTGTTTAAGTTTTAACCCATTACCCCTTGTTCTATCACTACAGTCCCTAATGAAGAGTCCCTCCCCAGCATCCTTATAGGCCCCCTTCAGACACTGGAAGGCTGCTATGAGGTCCCCACGCAGCCTTCTCTTCTCCAGGCTGAACAGCCCCAACTTCCTCATCCTGTCTTCATACGGGAGGTGCTCCAGTCCCCTGATCATCCTTGTGGCCCTTCTTTGGACTTGTTCCAACAGTTCCATGTCCTTTTTATGTTGAGGACACCAGAACTGCACACAATACTCCAGGTGAGGTCTCATGAGAGCAGAGTAGAGGGGCAGGATCACCTCCTTTGACCTCCTGGTCATGCTCCTTTTGATGCAGCCCAGGATACGGTTGGCTTTCTGGGCTGCAAGCGCACACTGAAGCCGGCTCATGTTCATTTTCTCATCGACCAACACCTCCAAGTCCTTCTCTGCAGGGCTGCTCTGAATCTCTTCTCTGCCCAACCTGTAGCTGTGTCTGGGATTGCTCCAACCCAGGTGTAGGACCTTGCACTTGTCATGGTTAAACTTCATGAGGTTGGCATCAGCCCACCTCACAAGCGTGTCAAGGTCCCTCTGGATGGCATTCCTTCCCTCCAGGGTATCAACCGAACCACACAGCTTGGTGTCATCGGCAAACTTGCTGAGGGCGCACTCAATCCCACTGTCCATGTCAGCGACAAAGATGTTGAAAAAGACCGGTCCCAACACCGGCCCCTGACGGACACCACTTGTTACTGGTCTCCAGCCGGACATTGAGCCATTGACCACAACTCTCTGTGTGCGGCCATCCAGCCAGTTCTTTGTCCACCAAGTGGTCCACCTATCAAATTGATGTCTCTCCAGTTCAGAGACAAGGATGTCGTGTGGGACAGTGTCGAATGCTTTGCACAAGTCCAGGTAGATGACATCAACTGCTCTACCCCTGTCCATCAGTTCTGCAGCCCCATCATAGAAGGCCACCAAACTGATCAGGCAGGATTTCCCCTTAGTGAAGCCATGCTGGCTGTCACCAAGCAC